TGCTTCATTTCTGAAAACTTCCATGTTGTGGAACTCTATTTACTCTATTTGGACCTCTATTTAGTTAGTAATTATTTGAGTAGTTGATGGGGGTATGACAGAAAATGCAATGATTTACTACATGTTACATTCTTAATCTTAATATACACAAGATAAAAGACAGGGTACTTGAACTTTGACAAACATACTTTAAATACATCAGTACCTAATATTTAACAAAATGTGCTTTCTATGTTCATGTTTATGCCCCAGTAAAATGTATTTTTGAATATACCGTTGACGCCATAATAATGGATCATTTTTTTCCCATCTTTGCATAAAAAGACAAGATATTATCCAGGTGGGTCAGAAAAATAATTTTCAGTTTACATTTTTACCAATGTCAGAAGCATGAGAAAAAAATCAGCTCGTAACATGTATGTCAGATGGTATAGTGTTGAATTAAATGGGAAACTAACATCTAGAAGCAAAGAAGTTTAAGATTATAATGTTAAATAAAAAAAAAAACATATTTCAAGCTATGAAAATAAGTTGCCCTTCATCTGATAATGTCCACATGGAGTGTGCATTTTCTCCCCTTACATGTGTGGGGTTTTCCAGGTACCACAACTTCTCCTCAGCCTAAAAACATATATTTGTAAAAAGTACCCTAAATATGAATTATTGTTAATAGGAGAGTTTTTTTCACTTTGAAGTAAGCAAACCAACAAACTTTTATATTTTTTATTTAGTAAATAATTATTTTTTTCATAATTCTTTTATATTGTTAAATATGCTTTTGGTTATTATTCTCCTTACAGAATTTGATGTATTCACTTCTAGGTTCTCGTATTTCCTAGTCTGGGGGGCTTTTATTCATGAATTATTGCACCTTTTGAATGGCTTTATATTTTGGAAAATAAACTGAATATAGCTAGTGACAAATTTGTTCACGATATCATTCTTCATTTTTAACAGTATCCACAGTTGGACCTCAAGATTTATACTATCAAACTGAAAGAAATATAAAGATAAAAACAAAGCTCTGTGCGCACCAAGTTTTACATGACTCAAGTATGTGGAAGATGTAGTGTCTCCACTTCGATTTTAACTCTGGAAGCAAGTCTTTTACTTTCCTTTTTTCATAACCCTTTCCTTTGGTCTAATTGATCAGACTTTTTCCCCCGTGCTTGTTTCTGCTTGAGATCACTGCACTTCTTTTTGTCTTAAACAGCTTCATGTGTGTGCAAGACGGAAAGAAGAGGAGTTGTGTTACTGTGATAACATCACAAAGACAGAGAGAAACAGAATGTTTGAAAGTCTTCATTTGTACTTGGGAGGAAGCCAAGGCTTATTGAATTGGAACACACAGTTCGCTCCGAATTGTGTGTGCTTGTGTGTTTGCCTGCTTTCTTTGAAACAATTACTACAGCACATGGTTTTCTACTCATAATCAGACACACTATCAGTCATAAGACAAAGAAAAACACCCACACAGAAGGATGTGCTGCGTACAGGAACACACATGATCCTGTTTAGAATGCCATTAAAGCTGAATTGGAAATTAAGTTACTGAAGCGCTCTTAACTCGGTGCCAGAACTTGCAATTAGAAGAACCTGAACTAGCCAAAGGCCTTGTTAAATAAGAAGCATATCATTATGTCTACATTTTGTTTAGATTATAATCCAATCTTTCTGTGACAAGAACTTTGATGTAGTTTTTATTCATTTATATATTGTATTGAAACATGAAGCCTTTTCACTAAAAGAGTGCAGGTCGCTTACCAGGGGTAACAACTTTGCATAGTGTCCGTTAATTGCGATAAATGGACTACAGTATAGAGTTTGTTACTGCAAAAGGAATTTTAGATGGGCTGCCATTTTTTTTTTACTATCTATACCTTATGATCACCTGGCTATCTGGAGATGAAAGTTTCTTCACACGATTCCTTTTAAGAGATGAAAGAGATTTTCTAAAATAATAACAGTTAAATGGGTCCAACTCCAAAGTCTCAGGCTATAAAAGTGTTTGGCATGTTATGATGAGAAAAACTATCACTGCAGACAGAATAGTGCCATATAAGATGAGACTGAGAGCAATTATTCAGTCTTTCCTGCAGATTTAACATTTATTTACTTTTTGCAGCTATATTGAATGTGTGGTGATGCTGCTTCTGCCACAAACATTTTCAACATGTCCAAAACAACTTTGATAGATGTGCTTAGCTGAAAAGCGTATCATAAATGCTTTGTTATAAGATGCGTACAAGGGAAACACTGTAGTTTTCCCTAAACTAGAGGTTGAAGATATCTGGTCTATGTGCTCAGGAGGCCAGATTACCAGGTTCCCTCTGGGAAAAGATAACGGATCCAAACTTAATTCAAGTATGGCTGCTGCACATATAAAATCCTCTCAAACAGACTGGGACAAACAGTTTTCCCTGCTCTATAAACGGATCATATATGATAAAGTCTGTCACTCGTAGATACTTTACTGTTTTACACAGACATGGACATTTTATGGCTAGGCAGGCTATGCACAGATTAAAAAAGAGATCAAAGTTACCCTAAGAAATCTCAGTTAAAAAATAAAGATCCTTTCAAAATACAGTTCTTAACAAGACTTGCATCTAAATATTTCTCTACCAAACTTAAAGTTTTGTGCACAGTTTCTAAAAAGTAGTCCAATTGCAAATTACATTTACATAACCAGACAGAATATACTGTAAAATACAAGATCCTTGCATTTTAGACACTAGTTTTAGCAAAAGTAATTGGGAAAATGGCCAAGGATTTTGACCAAAAATAACAATATTGGTTGTGTAGGTGAACATTTTGCAAGGCTTATTTACACTGAACATTTATAAGGTAAAAGCACAAGAAACAGATATGTTGTCTTTACTGTATTTTTTCTAAAGTAATCCTATTTTGGAATTCAACCCTTCTACAATACAATCAGTATTACATTGTAATACACATGGTAATTAAAACAGTCGGGAAATACAGTGCAAACCAATTTTCCAACACCAACATGAAAAACTATAAGTGCACACTGTGATGATGACTAAAATATAAAACAAATAGGAGTTATTTTAACAGCCTTTATACTCCGAATGCAAAGAGACAGATATTTTATAAATTTTCATGAAAAACTAGGAGACAAAGATCAAAGCTTTTCCTTGGAGACAAAAAAAAAGAAGTGGAAGAAGGATATAATTGTTTTTCATTTCCTTGTCTTAAAATAATGACCATTTAGAAATCACATGATTGAGATGTTATTGCACATATGGTTTAACTTTCCCTCTGCCTCTTCATTATTGTCCATTGATTACATGTCATTTGAAATGATCTCAGCAAAGGGGCTGCAGTTGTTTATTTAGCATGATGGAAAAAAGTTTCCATTGCCAAGCTGGTCCTTCAGCTTTTGTTGCATCAAAACAAGTTTAATCATCCTCAGCACATTTTATTTGCAGCACTGGCACTTAGCTATATTCAGGGCTTTTGCTGCCAAATCTATGAGATTTTAAACAAAATTGTTGCTATTGCTCTTCGCAATCAGTGATCCCAGTAACATCAGTAACATATTTTTTTTCTAACTGTAATTGAGGCAGTGCTTCTTCAAAGACTCTCTACAAATCCTTCTCTCCAGTCTTTTTGGTAAATCCAACTTTAAGCTAACACACTCTAGAGCGAGAGCTTTCAGCTGAGCCGCTGAACACTCCAAATCTCCACATGTGGGAATCTAACTGTGATGATGTTTGCTCTAGTCGCGCACACCCACACCACTCCATTTCAACAAGAGGGTACATTTCCATGACAAAGGACAATTATTGACTTTCATTGGCTCCGCTCGCTTTGATATCAGCTAAGGGTGTGTCTGTGTGTCTCTCTGTGTGTGCAAGAGGGGCGGCGGGTGAGAGGACAACTGCAAAGAGAAGAAACAGGGGGACCTGATGAAAGGAGCCGAGTGGGAAAATGCACCCACTGACCCTAAGTGCTCTTACAGAATTGGAGGATCACAGAGAGAACAAAACACCAACATACAATATATGTAGTTTTTATTTTTTAACATTTCCTCTGTAGTTTTTGTGGATTTCTTATTATTTTTGCACATCAGATATTAATACAAACATATTTGATTCTCACCCACACCTCACTGCCCTCCTCCTCCCCTTTGCTGCTATAATTTAAGGGGCTGAAAGGCATGGCGTGTAGTGAAAGAGGAGAGTAGAGAGCGGAGAAAAGACCCCGCAGATGAGGGCCTTCCTTCACAGACGTGGCACAGATGTGAGGGTGTTTTTGTGAAATGAACTGGGGAGGGGCGGTGATAGGCTAATTTGTGTGGAAAAAAGACAGGGTACTTTTCATATGCAGAGCACTACTTTGATGCACGGCTGATGAAAGGTGGAAGGAGTGCAGAAGAGAGGGTGACGGAGGGGTTCTTTGTCCCGTGACAAGAAGGCATCTGCTCTACTCTGTGCTGCTCCCCTCAGCAACATCAAGGGTCCCACAATGGGACAGCCCAGTGACGAAGTGTCATTGGAGCAACTCAGGATACTGAGCAAAAAAATAACAATACAAAAAAAAAACACAACAAAATTGTTGCTTTAATCACCTGATTAGGATTTCTATTTCTGTCATCAAGAAAAATGTACTTGACAGAAAAAACACATGCCCATGAATACTATCAAACATGAATGCTACACTCTCAAAAAAGATATGTTAAAAGTTTTTGACATTTTCAAAGATTCTTGGAATCTACAATTCTTGGAATCCAATGGCATGAGCTTATGCAAATCCTGCAATGATGTTTGTGCCTTTGATTTTCTGTAGTAGTTTGATCCTATAGAGGTTTAAAAGTTCCAGTAAAATTTACAACAAAAGTGAAAGCTTAATGTGGTTAAATGTTTTTTTTTTTTTTTTGTCCACCTGCAATGATATTGCGCATATTTTGGAAGAAAAGGAAGACTTACAGCCTTGCAATTGCATAAAAAAAATTCTTTTTGTTTGCCTCTTTCTAGGTGATCTTTGCCCTGAATCAGACGTTACTGCAGCAGGAGTCTTTGAGAGCAGGAAGCCTTCAGGTTCCATACACAACCGAGGACCTAATCAGACACTACAACTGTGGGGATCTCAATTCAATCATCTTCAACCATGACACCTCACAGGTCTGTCCCAGATGTTGAATCCTACCTTTTCTTATTACAAACATTCCGAACTCAATACATGTAAAAGACTTCTTCACCAGCCAACATTTAGTTTTTCTCAATGACATTTTATCCTTTTATTTTCACCTCTTACCGTATAATAGTCTTGACCCATACTTTCCTCCACATTTCCTCATTTCCTTTTACATTGATTTAGTCACCAGTATCATCAATTGCCTCATTTTTTTCTATTAACTGAGGAATTTGAAATGTCATTTTGTTTCATCTTTGTTAGTTCCTATAGAAATATTTTTGAAATTTAAAAAAAAAATCGATATATTCAAATTATTGTGAAATGAAAGTTTTTGTTCTCAATCCAAGGTGCCTAATTTCAACAATTTGACCCTGCCACCCAGTGAGCAGATAACTGCTCAGGAAATTGATGCCTATTTCCGACAAGAGCTCATTTACAAGAGGAATGAAAGGATGGGCAAGAGGGTCAAAGCCCTGCTGGAGGAGCACCCTGACAAGAGCTTCTTCTTCGCCTTTGGTGCAGGTTGGTCTTATTTGACAATACACAATCAAAACTGATGTTTCTACTTTTAGCCAATTGATTATAGTATTATGATTCTGGATCTGAATTCTAATTTTGAAACATAATTATGTTTGGATGTGCTTAAAGAATGAGCTGATGTAAAATATTAGGAGGTTTTAATGTGTCTTAACATGGTTATTACAATGCATTCACTTCATGAATAATTCATGAATGCATACACTTCATCGGAAAAAGAAAACCTTCCTACAAGCATTTCAAACTACTCTTTTGATCTTTTTTTGCCAGCATCAATAAACCCTATACAATTTTAGACTTTTGCACTTTAGTTACAGTCAGTACCCCAATAATGTCTACAGGTAGGAGATTGTTCATACTTATTTTGGTTAGATTAGAGGTTAAAAACTGCTAATAAATGACTATCCTTTTCAATCTTAATGGTCTAAGTTACATATATCATATATTTTTTTCATAATTTAGCTGAGCAAATCATGGTCCACACATATGTATGATGTGGTCTGTTGAACATTTATTTCTAGCCTGCGATCCCTACAAAATGCGATATCTCAGGAAACTTAAAATGACTCCAGTCTATTTTCTCATCCTGAAAATCCCAAACCTGAGCCCCTGAACCCCCCACCCCTACCCCTTCTCCACCCCACCCACACACACAACCTTTCTATGACAAACCTTCCTATTACATGTCAGTACAAATCATGTGTTCTTACTATTCAGTCCAACACTGATTGCATTTGACACGTAGCTTTGTTCTCTTAGCGTGCAGCTATAGACTTCCTGTAGTCCTTAATAATGTTGCCAAAATGGTAATCACTGCTTGATCAGTTCCGCTTAAAAAGCATTCATTACCTTCATGACTTACTGTAAAATAAGGTCATCAGAAATTCTAGTTGAGACACAATCCTACATAAAAGCATTTTATTTACCTGGAAAGGAGAATAAAAGAACCATTTAAATCAGCGGATCTTAATGGTTTATGCTTTAACCATTTATATTTAATTCCTCTGAATTTTTTATATTAAAATTATTTAGTGATGTGTTTGTTTTTTAAATAAACGGGCTACTTAGTTGTAGTGGCAATTGTTTGTCAAACCAAACATCCAATTAAGTTCCAATAAGCCACTATAGGCACTGGGGTCACGTTTTCTTGACGCAGGCAAAAGAAGTGGAAGTCCAAACTTGTAGATGTTTAGTTGATTTATTTCCTATATTTTGTCACATTACAGAGTTCAAACTTTCCTTGCCCTGTTACCTCTCTTGCACTGGTAAAAACCCATAGGCCCCTAACCCAAATGCCTGCTGGTCCTTACCAGGCTCCTACAATTATAGAAAGTGGACCGCCCACATTTCTTCCTGTTTTACATAAAATAAAGAAAAAAAAAAATAATAATAAAACAACAAAAAATAGATGCACAAAAATGCAACAATTAACCTATAAATTAAGTCTGTAAATAATACAAAAAATATATAAGTTTAGGAATTAACACAATTCAAATGGATAAAGAAATAAAGAATAAATAGCTCCAACAAGTCTTCTTGTATTCATTTAGTTGACTTTATAACAATTGTGTATGAAAAAAAATCAAAGGCAGTAAAACAAAGATGAACAACTGCAATGTTTTATATTGATATCTGAGTAATTAGATTAGTATATATATCTGTCAAGATGTGAGTTGTTTTTATTGAAGTAAAATCATTGAAGTACAAAATAGGGATGCACAATAATGTTTTTTCACAATAAATTTTGAAAACAAATAATTTCCTGTTTCTGTTAGATGATGACTGATAATAAACCAGTGTATATTTTTCTAAACATCTAAGGTAAAAAATCTCCAAGTAAACCAAATAAAAGGGTGTAGCTTTGATTTTTCCAAATTAAATTTGCAGTAATATTGTTACTAGGGTAACAGTTAACTAGGGTTATTCCTGTTCATCTTTTCATATTTATCAAATGTCTCATCAATAGTTATCACTCAAGGCACCTTCCATTTTTTTTCAGGGTTAGCCGTAGTACACCTAGCAGCTTTATATTCTTAACCAACCCTGTTGTAATGAAGGATTTTTAAGTGACATATAAGATTTGTGGTGTTGTAGCTTGTCTTTCTATTCCCTCCACGTGGTACTTCTGCTGAACATGTGTTGCAAACCGTGAGTGAATCATTTGTCTCTGACACACTAAAGTGAGCCCACACGTGGGGATGGTGACGCCTTGACGTTTCAGTGATTCAGTGTAGTTATGTGACATCACTACGTCCATGCAACAGAAGCTTGCAGTAAGGACGTGGGTGAAGAGAGGATTGTTACGAGCAAAAGCACAGAACAACTGCGCCAGAATCAAGCAGTTATTACACTGCAAAAATAAGTAAATTAAATTAAATTAAGTGTATTTACCCTTAATTAGAGCAGGTAGATAAGATGATCTGCCAATGGAATGAGTATTTTTACTCCTAAAATAAGATAATTAGATAATATACACTTAAAATAAGACAATGCAATTGTTTTTTTCTTATTTTAAATGTAAATTGTCTTGTTCCATTGGCAAAGTGTCTCACTTACCTCCTCAATAAAAAAAAAAATGCACTTAATTTGAGCAAAAAAGACTTATTTAGATTTCAATTTTTTTGCAGTGTATCAGATCTGGGAAGTTTAAATTTTCGTAATTATCAGTATGACGTCATAATTGTCCATTATCTGCCAATAATTATCGCTAACCTAAATTATCTTATTATAAAAACTTGATGTGGGATTATTCTCATTGTCTGGTCTTAATTCATCAGTGTGAGCACATTTAAATGCATTTCAGGAAAACTCTTTTTTAAAGGCTTTTTCACATTTTTATCAGGGATATCTCCAAATGGGAAGGCAAGTGATTGCAAAGAGCACTGCATGGTATAAATAATGGTTAGTGCAGTATCTCCTATGTTAGGAGAGGGCATCAGGTTATAATGACAGAAAACCCCAAATTTCTCTACAGTGATATCATCAGTTATTATTTTCCAAAGATTCCCTAATCATTTCCAAGCAGAAAATCAGTGGGTTACTTTACTTTTTTTTTTTGCAGAAGTAGAGACTTTCACAGTCTACTGGTCCCTTAACTGGCAGGAAACAGCTGAAGAAAAGCAGGCACACACACCCACAACCCCACCACATACACACACAAGTCCTAACAAGGAGTACATTTCATAGCGCGTCTCTGAGGAGGTGCCTTTACAAGGGCTTGGTCTCTAAAGGTGTGTGGATCTGTGTGTGTTTTATGTGTGTGTGTGTGAGCTGCTGAGTGAAACTGATATGGCCAATCAGCCCAGAAGCACTAGTCATAGACATACAGGGGGCAGGTTAGGTCGACTTGTACAAGGAATGGGATGGGGCACATTAGGGTACTCGCACATGTGCAAACACACACACACAAACATGCTCACACAGTGAGAACACACACACATATCCATACACGTGAAAACCTGATCCAGAAGTCATTCCCAAACCCAGTCTAGGTAAAATGTGTCCTTAATTATATCTTGAGGGGTCAAAGTACACCCATACACACACAAGCACACAGAATACAATGGAACCCATTATGTCAGCGTACTCACTCTTCTGTTGCCATCAGCTGTGAAGCTTATCAATGAACATTTCTTGTCCATTTGAATCAGCACAAAAAGGACGTTTCAACAAATTAAAGGTTTAGCCATTTTCTACACTTCATTTACCAATGTGTCGTCATAACATGCCGCAGTAGCTGGGCTCTGGGAAAGACTGGGACATATCACCCTTAAATTGTTCTCTATCAAGGTTTAGCTAATCCGTAATTAGCTGAAATGAACTCAGTCTGGGCTCCACATCAGATTCTATGGAATTTGGAGATGTGTTGTTTAAAGGACTGGCAGCATAGGGAGCATATTTCTCTTCCCAAGTAATGATTTAGTCAGTGTGCAGAGATTGCCAAAGCATCTTGACTGATGCTTTATGGAAAATAACTGTGGGCTTTTATTTTTGCCTTCGGTAAGCTTTATTGCCACAACAACTTAACAAAACAGTTTATAAATGATAATTTACTTCCTGACAAAGGGCCTTGGTTTGATACTGATCAAGCTATGCCAAAGAAAACAAAATACATGAATAGGTCTGGTTGTCCTGGTTATCTGTGTTTATGGAAGCTGACCCCAATGTCTGAAGTGTTTATGCTATTATAATTTCTGTTTTTCTTTTATATATTATTGTTCCATGCCATTACTGACACACAAATAAGAGTTGTCTGCTGTTAGCCAGTTGTACTATGTCTTCTTAATCCCAATTTGAGACTAATTTTGCCATTTGACCACAAAAGTGTTTCAGTATGCTTCGGGTATAATAACATGCATTCCAAAAAAGAGAACTGTGGAGAATAAAACATATTTGAATAAGATTTTTTCCCAACATTTTTATTCAGTATTTTATGCATACAGTATATCTGGATACAACTTTTGCAATTTTTTAAAAATCACCCTATTCCATTATGCACTATTTTAATCTGAGTAACCAACATTTTTAACTTCACAGAATTTTATTCTTGTATTGAAAAATTTTCTTTACTGTAAAGTTTCTTAAACTCTAGTTCTGGATAAAATGAATTTGACAATTTTATTTTACTGATTTGTTGTTGCCCTGTGATGGATTGGCGACCTGTCCAGGGTGTACCCCGCCTCTCTCCTATAGACACCTGGAGATAGAAAATGATGAAATTTGGATGATTTGTTGTCACATATTGACATGCTTTGAACACCATGTATGGGTTCTCTTCATTCAGTTAACTCTGCAGGACAGTGAAGATTATAACTTCTAATGCAAACTACTACCTACCTCACCATTTAAAAAAAGCAAAAAACAAATTTCTATTTAATTTCATTTTATGATGTAATAAATAACAACTTCCTTTTAGAAGCAGATTCAATTTAGTTCAATTCAGTTTTATTTATTTATTTCCCATTCTCCACCATTTTAAGGCACTT